TTTTTTGAAGAACACATTTAGTAAGATAATAATAAAAATTATTTTTACGGTGAATATAAATTTAAAGATTAAAAATCAAAAGAAATATAATTAGAGGATTAAATAATTTTCCTATAGAATAAGAAGATTCATTAAAGATAAAGATAATTGACATTTCAGTTAAAGATAACAGATTTGATGAAATTAAAATAAATGTGAAAGATATTATATAAGATTAGAATAATTTAAAAATAATAGATGAAACTAAAAAGAATACGAAAATTAATAGATAATTTGTTAAATTAACCCAAAAAATAAATAAAAGAAAATTTAAGAATGGGCCAATAAACAAAACAAGGACTCACTAATGAAAACTTTTAAATCCGTCAAATATAAGGATTGACTTAAAAGTCATCTTAGTATCAACCCCATAAATTTCTTATTTTTAAGGTTAAATATTAATTTTGGTCCCTCAACTTTTTAAAGTTGCATTTTTTGGTTCCTTAACAATTTTTTGCACTTTTTTTATATCTCAACTCTAAGAAATGCACAACATTGGTCTTTCCATCAGTTAAATAATTCCATATGACATTTTCTTTTAATTTTTTTAATGGCTTGGAAATAATATATATTATAATTATGTTATATAGATAAATAAAAATGCTATGTAGATGAATATTTATATTTTAATAAAAACAAATAAAATTACATTATTACCCTCACCCTCTCAATCCCTTTTCTTCCCCTTCTTTCTTTCTCTTTCTTTCTTTCCTACCTTGGGTCAGTGGAACTACCGAACCCAGTTGCTAGGTTCAATGGAACCCAACTGTTAGGTTCAATGGAACTCAGATTGAGGTTTCGATGAACCTAGCTCTGCTGGTTCCGTTGAACCCAGCCTTGCTGGTCACTGGGTTTGACGAAAGCTAGGTTTCATATTTTTTCATTCTTTTTTCAATTTCCATTCCTAGTTCTTGATAAATTTGGGAGTTGATTTACAATTTTATTGCATTTTTATTGGAATTTTATTAGAGTTTGATTGCATTTTTGTTGGAATTTGATTAGAATTTGATTGATATTGTTTATTGAAGGGTTAATTTGGTTTGATGAGATCTGCTGGATTCGATGAATCTAGTGGTTTCAATGAAACCCAGTAACTGGGTTTGACGACAGAGAGCCCAAATTCTACTTTGAAGCATTCTAGGGTTCATAGATATATTATCTTTTTTAATTGGTTTTTTGCATGTAATATGGGACCATTTGAGGGGTTTTGGTGCATTTTATTTGTGAGAATATGACATGGCATAATGTTTTGTCCATGTTAGCACTTTTTTAAGTTGTGCTCTCCATGTCATAAAAAAATAAAAAAAATGCCACATGTGTGGAGTTAATGGCCCAAATTGATGGAAGGACCAACGTTATGCATTTTTTAGAGTTGAAGGATCAAAAAAATGCAACCTTATAAAATTGAGGGATCAAAATTAATATTTAACTTATTTTTAATTAATAGGTAACCAATCCACGGTAGTGGACAGATGAAAGGGATATATATGTATATATATATAATTACAAAAATCATATAATTATAATATTATATGATATTATAAATTTAAATATGATATATTATTATATAATTAATTTTTTATTTAAAAACATATTTATAATATTATATCAATTCACTTATTTGATAACACGTTATGATTATAAATGTATAATCTGATATGATATTATAACTATAATATTATCAA